CAGTCATCTCCGTTCTTTTCAGAGCTGTTCTTATCTAATTCCCTGCTTGACAGTCTCAAAAGCCTGACCTCCATCTGCAAGAGGTGTTCCTATTGCACGATAAGTGAAGAACACACCAGAATGGAAGAAGGAGACATATAATCTAGTGCCTGTGCCAGAGCCTACGCTGGGGACCTTCTGACTCACAAAACCTTTCTGTTTTCCATTTCCTCACAAGTGAAATGGGTATAACTATACCCATCCTGGTTACAGACAGTGAGGTATAACAGATTGAACATTTTATGCTGCTTTAAGAATGAGTCATTATGGAAACGGTGTCTTTAAAAAGAACAATTCTCAATCTCAGGGGTCTGTAAATTATAGATACAGGTCATCCAGCCCACTGCTTGTTGTAAATAAAGTTTTATTGGAACATAGCCTCACCCCCTCCTTAAATAGTGTCTGTGGACTCTCTTCTACTGCAATAGCAGAGTTCAGTGGCTGCAGCAAAGATCCCATGGACCACAAAGCAGAAAATGTCTACTATCCAGCCGCCTACAGCAAACAATGCTTCTGATCCTTCTTGAGATACATTTTTAAAGCCTTATTTTTAAACAAACACATTTTCATTGTCCCACACACAAAAAACGCAGTTGCTTAGTATGTTGTATTTCCCAACATAGCCTGTACACTTAACAGAAGACCTTCAGTAGAAAGTCCCATTAATAACACAAAAGAAATTTATTACACAAATTATCTGCTATGTAAATACATTGCTGTGAAAAGAGTAGTACTCAGAATTATGTTAAGTTCAATTCTTAAAAGAATAATTAGCTCAGAGCTAAGATTTATTTCTGGTGTGTATTTTAGGGAAAATAAAATCGGTAATGCATTATTATCCCTATTGTGTCTCACAGCAATGAGGGCAACTGAGCCGCCCAGAGTGGTCAGTGCCAAAGACACTGTGGGAGCCCAAATATTAATCAAAATGACATCTGCAATAGTTTCCTTTCCTAATCAGGCCTACACATCATGGGACATCTGGCAAATCAATAAGCAAAACTAGATGCCCTCATCACTCCTAACCTGGCAGTACTACATTTTTAGCCAGAGGACGAGGGCCCTCAGTGTCATACAAACACTTCTTGACCTCAGTTGTTTGCCACTTCCAAGAGATGAGTGTGCCCACCTATGATCTGTAAGCTTACCCTGCCATGCATCTGACTATGCCACCTAGCACAGAAAGAAACATCCCTTATCAGTCCAAGATAAAATAGGCACAGTGGCACATAACTCTAGAATATGCTTGTGTATTCTGCCAAAGAGACTCATAAGTAAAGTGAGCATAGGGTGTTATAAAGTGTTTGTGGAAAATGGAAGAGGCTTCACATCCTGTCCTCTATAATCAAGGAAGGGTGGCACAGAGACTTATGCTATACCTCATACTTCCCAAGCTCCCACCAAGGCTGAATTTTGGCAAGTTGAGAAATAATGACTTTTGGCTTCAAGCCCCTTTTCCTGCTATTTCTTTTCAGGCCCCTTTCCTCAAAACTCTTATCCCACTGGCACCTCCTATTTTCTCTCTGCGGGCTGTGGAATTGCTCTAGTGCTGAAAGATCTGATAAATACCTTCATGTCAATTTATTCCTCCTTCACGTAGTTAGTGGAGGCAGAGTGCTGGAGAAATGAAACTAGGAATAGATCTGTTCACGCATAGAACTAAGTGTGAACCCTATGGAGAGAATAGCAAAGCTAAAAGGCAAGACCCAGAAAAACTGACTGGAGTAGGAAATATAGACATTCCCCTGAGAAAGTGAAACACGTCCATGAACTCTGAAACCTTAGGGGAGACTTAAAGCAGAAAGCTAAGGACTTGCTTACAGTTGGGAGGCTGTGATCTAAGAGCCACAACTGGCCATCATTAAGGTGAATTCATTCATACTCAATCTACTGAAGAAAGAGCATTCGGATTAGTTCATTCATTCATTCATTCATGTGCCAGGTACATCCATGAGCAAGTATATTCCATACCCTCACAGAGCTCTTTTCAGCCCATTTTGGCTTTAGGTGGTTTTATTCCCCCTAGTTTATGAAACTATAAATAGAAAATCTTCCTGATCTCAGAGCATTTCGCCTTTATAAGTAAAGGATAAAACAGAAATCAAGTACAATAAACATGATGGAAGCATCTTAGCCAGCTGAAATCCAGCTTGGGAAAATAAACTGTAATTCACTAAATTTTAACCAAAATTAAAATTGCTGAGATTAAAGGCAAAACACAACAAAGGCAATACCAGACATGAGGCTAAATGGAGCAACATAAACTTATTCAAAAGGAACGAATGTGATATGGGAAATTGGGCCACCAGTCACCTTCACAGGGTCTTGTGAAGCTCAAATGAGGTAGTCAATGGGATGAATGTCTAAAAACGTGAAGAGGCACATCACAGATGTGAAAGTCTGGGTGGAATCATTCATACTACCATCACCAATTACAAGCTCATCTTAAGATGAGTTGGGATTGTTTTTAAACTAGTAATATAGATAACCAAAAGATGAACAACTTACAGGATAGTTTGGCACTTAGCCTATCCATATTGTTTCACATGGAAATTCTAAAACAAATGTTTTATAGATAATAATGTAAATAACCAGCTGTAGGAGATTCCTGAATTAAAGTATAGTATGTCCATAATGACCACTCTATGGATTATTGTCCATGTGACAGCCCACTCTGTCCTTTCCCACCCTTCTGTGCCCTTCCTTCTTTGTGCACAGGGAGGCTGATGCCTAGAATTGAATGCCCTTCCGCTCTCACTTACAGTGGAGTCAATTAATGGAGGTGACAGCAGAAGAAGAAATAATTTCTTCCAACCCTCCCCTCTCTCTGCCAGTCATGCATCTGTGGCAGGAGCTGCTGCTTTTCTGTAACTTCATGGGGTAACTGCTCCTCCTCAGCTTCGACTCTCACTGGGTTCCAGCAACTACGTTTTGTCCTCTTTTTGCTTCAGTCCTAGAGGTGGCCAGAGCTTCCTGATGTTGCCAGTGTCTGGGTGCCGGGGCCCTCACCATCCATTCCTTGCCTGGTCCCTTAACCCTACCCACACCTCTATAACTAGTCCTTTCATTCAAGTCTCTTCACTTGACTCATCTAGGTGGACTTCAGTTTCCTGCCAGGACTGTGACTGAAATGCAATATAGACTAAAATACAGTAAATATCTATTTATTGACATAGAAAACTGTCTGACAGAAAGAGATCAAAATATTAATAACACTTATTAGTAGGATAGTACTATTTGTTTTTCTTTATATTTATTTTTCAAACTTTCTACAGCATTTGGTTATGTATTTGAAGGAGTATAAAAGGAAAATGACAAAATTAAAATACAAAATGGGAATAAATATAATCTCAAGAAGTACTAACAGTTTGGCTTTCCTTCTTTACTTCCCACTCTGCCAAAAAAATACATAAATATAAAGTTACATGGCCTGAAGGTATCCCAATGGGTAAAGGGGACCATAAACTCTCTTCATTGCCCAGGTATTTCTTTCTTCTTGCTGGATTGTGTTACCCATGAAAAATATGTTTAGTTACCAAGTGTTCACAATTGAAAATTTAATTGGGCATGTTAATAAGCATATATGATTTACAGGCTCCTATTTTTTACAAGCAGAAGTCGAGACTTTGCTGCATTCTTTGATAGTAACAATCGTCAACTATTAATAAGGGCTTACCACCTGCAGGTACTGTTTATAAGCATTGTAGGTATTAGCTCATTTAATCCTGAAAAGCAGTATTATTATCCCATTTCACAGATGAGGAGATTTACAAGCAAAGAAGTAATGTAATTTGACCCAAGATCCCACTAACAGGTTCTGGAGGCAAGCTCAGGCTTTAGGATCGATTTTATCTGTTATAATTAACTGTTGCTCAAATCAAAAAGTCCAAAACTCTCCTAATTTTGTGCATATTGTGCAAAGAACAACCAAGACCCTCAAACTGGTTCACCACTTACTAGTTGTACACCTTGTACATTTATGTACTGGATCTACAAATTCCTCATCAATAAAAATGGTGAATAATACTTCCTCGATCTACCTCAGAAGTTGTGAGAATCAGATGGGAAAATGAGCAGGAAAGCCCACGGAAGCTGTAAAACGAGTTACAGATGTAAGGCAGTATCATGTTGCATCCTCTCAACACTAGTACATTAGTCATCCTCACTTACACACGATAGTGAAATGCAAATAAAATAGCCATTATTTTGGAGAAGTATGGCTCTAAACTATATAATATTATAAACTATCCAGTCTGTTAATAACACCCAACATAAAACCACCACTGATTGATCAATAAAAATCATACTGTAGTTCCAGTGAAATGTACTCTCAAATGAACTTCCCTGACTCACGCTCATTAATTACCTCACCTTATTTGATATGTTCCCAGCATTTTCTGGAATGTATTACTCTCAATCTTTACTTATGTAGTAACTTTTTTTTTAATTTTAAAGTTCAAACTCTACATTCTCTATGCTACGATATCAAAAGTTCAATTGAGCCACTCAGTTTTCAGTTTCCCTGACTCAACTTTTTGGAGTTTTATAATTAATTATATTCCATTATTACTGATCATCAATTAGCTCAAAATGTTGCTGAGATGGTGAGCATGCTGAAGAAAGCAGAATTTAATGATAATTTGAGACCAGTAGGACACTAAATTTCTCTCTTGTTAATAATTAAAGTAGATAACTTATGTTTTTATTTATAGCTTCCAGAAATATCCGGCTCATTCCTGTACACTGCCCTGTCAGCTAATCATCCATTGGTCAGCATCTGACTTAGGCCATTGTGTTTTATTTTGTACACATGCCTTTAACTGAGGCCATTAAATGCAGCCCAAACAAAGGTTAAAGCAAGTGAGGTTATCACCATGTCTTCTCTGAAACTTTTTCCATCTGGTCAAATGCTTGCACATCATAAATATATAAAGAATGAAAGGGGTAAAATTTCAATTTACCTGTTTCAATTTCCCAGATATAGACTGAGTCATCTGCACATCCAACAATTAAAAAATTCTCAACCGGGTGCCATTTTATCATCTTCACCGGAAACAGGTGCTTCCGCGCATGCAGGAGGCAACTCTTTCCCTCAAGGTGAAGGAGAGCCACGGAATGGTCACTGCACACACAGCAAATGATCTGATCACCCATTAGCTGTGAAAAAACAACATGCGTATGTAAGTAAATAGTCAAATGCTTTCTCTATGATCAAGTCAGATTGTTTTTCTCCCGTCAGTAACATAAAAAATTTTGTTAAAGCCCCATTTACAAAAAGGATATTTCTGCTTCCTACAGCACTTTTCCATACTCTACAGAGGAAATTTAAACACTGAATAGAGTTTAAATTCAACAAATTCTCAGGAAGGTCAAGAGATGAATCCAGGACAGATCTACTTACAAGATAAATGAAGGACTTGACCATCACTCAGCAAATTTAGGCAGGGAGGCAGACGTCGGAAATAATGCAGAATAAAATAAACCCCAGGACTAATTTGTTGCCACAAAAAGAAGCTATTTGTAGACACAAGCTTAGGCCCAAGGGTATCATGAGCTGATATTTTCCACTTAAAGCCTCAAAATGTGATTTGGTGCTGTTCCCAGAACTATACAGATTCTAATCCAAACAGGAAACTCAGTGTAGACACAATCTAAAAGAGGTAAGCATTAGATAGCTCCAACTGAATGTATAGCCTCAAAGACATAAGGACCAAAAATAGGCTCCCAGGACAACAATCCTTGAGAGACTTTTAAAAAAGTCAGCGCGTAGTTACCTTGAACAGGTTAGGACAGTTACTGTTCATGGTGGTTTCTAATGATCTAGCCAGAATTTTTGGCTGTTTTGTTGAAAGCTTCAGTTTGGAAACCTTGAGACACCCACTACTCATCATTAACCTCTCTGGGGGTGGCAATGGGGAAAGATCAGGGCACATGTTTTCTTGTATAATTAAAAAAAAAATCACAAAATGTCAGGTGTGATAGATCTGGAGCCTAGACTTGTAGAATGGATCATATGTCATTTCCCCCAACCATTTTAACTCCTGGAGAACCTGCCCATTCCACAGCTACTAGAATAGGCAGCCCAATGTGCTCTAGAAAACTTACATGCATATACCCACATAACATATAAACACAAATCTTATGGTTAGGAATAAACCATAGAGAAATAATGTTTATAAGCATATTAACTGATTTAAAAAATCATTTTACTTGTGATACCATGTCGTTTTACTACAGAGGAAACTCAAAAGTTGATTGTTCATGTGTTTTTTTTTTTTAAGTCGACTTTACAAAAGCTGAATTTAAGTTGACATTACATGAGAAAATTCTACCTAAAGCTATTTCATTTTGCCCAACACAAGGTAGATGCTCGCAAGCTTACTAAAGCTCATTCTCTGATAAATAAATAAATAAGCAAATAAAAATTCATTTAAGAAGAAAATGTGCTAGGTGCAATGGCTCACTCCTGTAATCACAGCACTTTGGGAGGCAGAGGTGGGAAGATTCCTTGCACCCAGGAGTTGGAGACCAGCTTGGGTAACAAAGTAAGATCCTATCTCTACAAAAATAAAAATAAAAAACATTAGCTGGGTGTGGCAGCACATGCCTGTAGGCCTAGCTACTTGGAAGGCTGAGGCAGGAGGATCCCTGGAGCCCAGGAGGTTGAGGCTGCAGTGAGCCATGATCATGTCACTGTACTCCAGCCAGGGTGACAGTGAGACCCTGTCTCTCTCTCTCTCTCTCTCTCTCTCTCTCTCTCTCTCTCTCATACACACACACACACACACACACACACACACACACACAGAATTTGAAGAAAAATGTAACTATCTATATCCTTATAAAAATAAATTTTTGACAGGGTCTTGCTATGTTGCAGAGGCTGGAATGCAGTGGTGTGATTTTGGCTCAATGCAAAACAGAAGTTATTGGAGGCAAAAGTTAATTTCTAATTTATAGATTATTTTGACTTGCTTTTGCATTGAGTATGTACTACTTTTATTTTTTAAAGATAATTTCATCAAAAACTAAGATATAAAAGTAGAGAAAAAAACAGATCTAAGTACTTAAAGAAAAACAATTAAGTGGCTTTTATGAAGCTAAGCGTTGATTAAACCTTTGCTTTAGAGCCACATTATCTGTATAATGTAAATTAAAATAATAAAATTCATATAGAAATATTAGAAATAAATATATTAAAAATCCAGTTGTATTATAAGAACATAGAACTTACAGCTTTCTTTTCTTTGGAAATATGGGTCATTTTTACTTGTCTTATTAAGTATTCTATAACATGATATAACTTTCAAATTTATGTGTTATATTTAACTCTTTGTCTTACTTTAAACTTCTCTGGTGACATCAAAAGACTTGTTACTGGACCGGCTTCCAAAAAGAATTTATGCAAAATTTCTTCAGTAAAGATATCCCACAAGATGACACATGAGTCTAGGTCGCCTGACAACATCCAACTTTGGTCTAATTTTGAAGAAAGACCATGTGGGTAAAGTAATGAGGTGACACTTTGGTAGTGGCCTTTAAGAACTTTGTAAGGGGGAGAATCTGAAAAACAATGAAACACCAAATAATACAGATGTTATTTTTGTTTGGACAATCATCCCAGGATTTTCTTTTATAACATTTTAACATAAGGAAATTACATATAATTAAAGCATGCACTTGGCTAAGAAAACTAGTGAACACCCTTAGATCATCTTAAAAAGCAAGTGCCTCACCAGAAGCCAGAGCATGCTTTTGATGAAGCACTGTAGTTAGTTGTTCAAAGTCTATTAATTCTAGGCCAGGCACAGTGGTTCATGCCTGTAATATCAGCACTTTGGGAGGCTGAGAAGGGCAGATCACTTGAGGTCAGAAGTTCAAGACCAGCCTGGCCAACATGGTAAAACCCCATCTCTACCAAAAATACGAAAATTAGCTGGGTGTGTTGGCTTGTGCCTGTAGTCCCAGCTACTCAGGAGTCTGAGGCAGGAGAATCACTTGAACCTGGAAGGTGGAGGTTGCAGTGAGCCGAGGTTATGCCACTGCACTCCAGCCTGGGTGACAGAGCAAGACTCTGTCTAAAAAAAAGAAAAGAAAAGAAAAGGAAAACATAGTTTACTGATTCTTAAGGATATTAGTAAGTTACCAATTCCAGTGTCATGGAATAGTAAACACTGTTCTAAAAGAGTGAACACTTCATGCATTTGCCTCCATGAAAATAAGTTCAGAATATTGCTTATTTGCCTCTACAAAAATAAATTCAGAATATTACTTATTTTCATTCTTTTTTTTTTTTTTTTTTTTGAGGCAGGGTCTCACTCTGTTGCTCAGGCCTGAGTGCAGTAGTGTGATCATGGCTCACTGTAGCTTCAAATTCCCTGGGCTTGGAGGATCCTTCTGCCTCAGCCCCCTAGTAGCTGGGACCACAGGTGAGTGCCACCATGCCCAGCTAATTTTTGTACTTTTAGGAGGGACAGGGTGTCACCATGATGCTCACACTGTTCTCAAATTTCTGTGCTCAAGGGATCCACCTGCCTCAGTCCTTCCAAAGTGCTGAGATTACAGGCAGTAGTCACCTCGCCCAGCCTGTCATTCTTCAAATTATAGCAACTAAGTCTAGTATACCAGAAAAAAAAGTTTCAGAAAATATTTTTACTTTGAAAGATGTTAGAGATTACCTAATTCTACCTCTTTGCTTTACAGATAAAGCATCTGAGGCTCAGAGAGGTTAAGTGGCTTGCATCCAAGTGTGTAAAAGCAAAGCAAAATCTTTAAGAGTGCAGCGCAGCACTGCTGTTAAATGAATCTGCCTTTTTCATCCCCCCTGGGTCTATCACTTACTAGATATGTCACCATATCTAGTTTCCTTTCCCTCTAAACCATAGATGTTACATCTGAAAATTTAGGATAATAATAGTCCTTACTTCAGACAAGACTGTTGTGTGGAATAAATAAGGTAATGTCTATAATTTTGTAGCACTCTGCTTGGCACTTGGTAGGCATATGGACATTTCAAATCATAGCTGTATGAGAACACAGGACTAGTGACACACTACTGTGCTAAGGGGTGACTCCTCCCCTAGCCACACTGCTTCTTCCTTCATCATTAGCTAAACTCCCCCAAATTCATAAACCATAAACTCCCTTTATTCAAATTAAAAATAAACCTCATCTAAGAATTATGATTATACTTCAGAAACTTCTATTCCATCAGGATATCCTCACTTTGTATCTCCTAACAAACCAGGATGAGTGCTCATTCAGATGCTGGAAGTCAAATGTGGCTTCATCTTGCTTTCTGGGTATTAGGATAAATCAGCTTAGATAAAAACTGCTAGGTCTTCGCTTTTTCACTAACTTTTAACAGCAGCCATTTAGCTGTACACCAGTACATTACCTCTCCTTGGTTCACTGCCATTTATTCTTCCACTTCAGTCAATCACTGAAGCGTAAGTCAGTAACATTTAGTAAGTGGCCAAAGTAAGCTGAGAACAATAGTTGGCAATATAAGAAGATTTTTTAAAATTGAGATTTAGTCCTTACCGTTAAGGACCTTATGCTCTAATAGGATTTATATAACAATAATAAAGTAGGCCAGGCGCAGTGGCTCACACCTGTAATCCCCAGCACTTTGGGAGAGCTAGGCAGGCAAATCACCTGAGGTCAGGAGTTCGAAACCAGCCTGGCCAACATGGTGAAACCTCGTCTCTACTAAAAATACAAAAATTAGCCAGGCGCAGTGGCGGGAGCCTGTAATCCCAGCTCCTCAGAAGGCCGAGGTAGGAGCATCGCTTTAACCTGGGAGGCAGAAGTTGCAGTGAGCTGAGATTGCACCATTGCACTCCAGCCTGGGCAACAGAGTGAGACTCCACCTCAAATAATATTAACAGTAAAACAGTATACAGTTTTTTTCTACACATTCTAAATCTCAATCACCTCCTATACTTCTTTCCCTTACATAAGAATTTAATAGGTATTTGTTGTTGTAATGCACAAATGCAGAAAGCTGTATAAGCACACATACACATTTCATTCACAAAGACATATAGACTAAACAGAAAGACACTCTTTTTCTTCTGATTAGGAAAGATTAAAAAATTTAATAGCATACAAAGATGGTAAAGTTTGGGGAGAAAGCCATTTTTATAGGCTATTAGTGAAAATGCATGCATATTGATGAAAGTTCTTTACAGAATATTTTAGATATATTCTCAAAAATGCAAACAAATGTTGATTTAGTGATTCTACTCTTAGGAATTAATATATAGATATGCCTGTATATATATATACAATGATAATCAATTCCTCATTGTCCATGGTAGCTAAAATCTAGAAAACCTACATACAAATTAATAGGAAATTAAAGTTAGATTATTACTAATTATTTAAAGTCAGCTCATAAAGAATGCACTCCGAAATATTTTATTTAGATTTGTTTAAAAACATTTGGGTAAAGCATGTAGAATATGCTTTTATTTGTGCAATATAATTAAAAGACTGTGTATTGTTATGCTTGGTATGTCCTTAAATACACATAGAAAATTTCAAGAGGAGTATAAATAAACTGGTATTAGCATTGCCTTTGAAGAAAGAAACTGAAAGATCAAGTAAGGAGAAAAACTCATTTCTTACTGTATAACCTTCTGCTTGAGTTTTTTTTTTAAACCATGTATGGTTTACTTTAACATTAAAATAGGTACACATTTATTGGCAAATGCCAGTAAATTCTTTAGGTCTCTAAATCTTCTTTAGTGTACCTTGTTGAAATTGCAGCTTAGATAAATTAAATAAATAGTGTCAAATAAAATTCAATGACCTTTTACTAAAGAGCTGCCTTCTAGAAGTCTTGCTTTGGCAGCATTCAAAGCCTGGGTAATGATAATTGTCCCATCTTCACAGCCACATATTAGTTTATCAAGACTTGGAATATACTCTGAGGAAGTGACAAGAGCAGTTCCTGCCCCATCTTTAAACCCAGAGAAATAGTCAATAATACTGTGCGACATGGTATCATGCTTATCAAAATTATCTTGAAGAGTCCAGGTGGTAGTTATTGGTATCTCTGAAAAGAAAACAAACACAAAAAGAAAATTTGGTTTATCAATGCATCACAGACATGGAAAATATCAAGGCACCCTCCCTTCAAAAATATGAATACAATTTAACAGTCTATCCCCTATTCATATTGCCAGCATTTATCTCTTAAGTTCAATTGATGTTAACATAAATTATATTGGTTGTGTTACTATATAAGATCTGTAAGCTTTGTGTTTATACCTGCTTTTATGTTGTCATTTAATACATAATAGTACACAATAAATTTTTCCTCTTTCTGGTCCCATATTGCTCAACTTAGAAGAACCAATGAGTTAATTACAAATTAGTTCTCAGAAGACATGTGACTAGAAATGGAAACTGACTTACCTCTGGGAGAACCATCAAACTTGGACACAGGAACATCAGGGATGTGCCACAAAGTAATTCTTCCTGAGACTTCTCCAGAGAAAAGTACCTTGTAAAAAGGCTCTTTCCGTTCATTCATGTAGCCCATGACAAAGGGACAGCTCTGTTCCGATACAAAAAGTGAGCTTTTATGTAGGAAATATTCTAACTATGGAGAGATGGCCACTGTTTTTAGACAGAAAGAACACTTAATAACTGAAGTCTTTTCAATTTATTTCCCACTGTTTCAAAATTTCAAAGAAGTAATCTGTGATCTAGGACTAAAGAGGCTTTATAAAACAAGAAGCAAAGTCATAGACTTCAGAAAGTTAGTAAGAGTATTTAACATTTACTGACCATGTTATTTGTGTGTATGTGTGTGTGTGTGTATATGTGTGTGTGTGTGTGTATATATACGTATATTTGTATACATATATATACATATATACATACATACATATATATACACACACACACACACACACACACATGCCTCTATGTGTACACATTACTGCAAGAGCCTTTCTACATATTCAGTTAAATAATCCTCACAATAACCTTATAAAATTGGTACCAGCGTTGTTTTCATTTTACAGACAAGAAAACTTGAAGGGAAGAGATTGATCTGTCTAAGGCGATTAGAGGTAGCAATGGGCTTTGACTCCGTAATTCTAATTCAGGAACCCAGGTCCCGAATAGTTATAATTGTAACTGTTATACAATAGTTCCTGTGTAGTTCTAATGGTCAGCTAAAACAGCAACTAATATTTATATAGTAATTGTATGTTGTTAATATGTTTCCCACTTTTTGTTGACTATTTTTTAGATTAAATATACTTGATTTCAGATTTCTCAAGTGGCCACAAAGGAAAATGATTTCATAATTTATAATGTGTATGTGTGTACATATATAATGTTATACATAATATTATGTATGATTTTTAACATTGTATATACATTATATATAGTTTATGATCTTGCTGAAGCAGAATATAAATAGTGGGCACCAGTGCCCTTAAAGCTATGCCTTCACTAGTGAATGTGCTTAGAGCATACCCGGTCCTTCTCAGGGCAGGTCTGAAAATAGAGATTATGCATAAGGGATCAAAATCATTTAAGTGATTACAAAAACAAAGCCTGAACTTTCTTTGGTGCAGAAATAAAAGTCATCCTGAAAAGAAAGCCAACTGCTGGTGGTAGACTCAAAGAAGTCCAGAAAAGTGATGCTTCCTAGTCACAAAATGCGCTTTAAGGTCTGGATTTAGACATATTAGTGAAAAGTTCTATTCATTAGCGATAATTAAGGGCCAAAATTAGCTACCTTTAATCTTCACAACAAAGCTATGTCATAAGTAACATTGTTATTATCCTGATATGAAAATAAGAAAACTCTGACAGAAAATAAGAAACCAGTCCAAGGTCATCCAATGAAGATGTGTAATGAATTCCCTGTAGTCCTAAGAAATAAGAGCATCATGGAAAATGGTTCCAATAAAGTCAGTTTCTAAATAAATTATTGTAAGGCTCAGAGGGCACTTTGGTGTCTTACAGCCATGATTTTTATAGCTTTTTGAAAATGGTGCTGATAAAATTTGGTTAAATTGGCTACTCAAACTCTCCTACCATTGTATGCACTTAGAACTGATAGTTCCAACTCTCTGGTTATTCTAATTTAAAAAGGAAGCTCCAAGAGGCTGGTGGCTTACTCAAGTTGGTGGCAGCACAACTCCTCCCAGCGGGTGCTTTGCCTCTGCAGTTGAATTTCCCTGTTGCTTTCATCCCCGCTGCCTCCACCTTCCACACGGCTGCCTCTCACCTGCTCACATTCACCCCTTGATCCCTCGCTTCTCCTCCTCCCAAACAGTTGCCTCTAGTTCTGCTATTCACCTGAAAAACCTCTTCCTAGTCCCTTACCATGTGAATTCTGATTTTTCATCACAGTGTCCATGAGAGTCTCCATCCTCCAGGATGTAATAAAACATATCCATTAGAACTGAAAGCCCTGGGCTAACTGCCTGGATTCAAATCCTGGCTTTACCAATTGACAGCTCTATTAAAAGAGCACGTTACTTACTGTAGGTAATTTGGTACACCTCACTGTCTCATTTTCCCTACCTGTGAAAGAAGACTAACAAAAGCACCTGATATATGGGATTGGTGTAAGAAATAATGAGCAGATAAAGATAAGGTGCTCAGAATGGTCCCTGACATTTAGTCACTATTCAATTAATTTGAACAATTCTTGTTATTCTTTTCTCAGAAGAATTGAGAAACTCACTCCAAAATCCATTACCAGATTTGGACTAAACCACTTGAGTTCAAATCCTGGGAATTCACCTCTCCGAACATCAGTTTCAAAATGGGATCTTGGTGGCAACTAAAGAAATGAGGTTGTTTGTATGTTTGACAATAATAAGGACTGAAACAAAGTTGTTTATCATCATCATCAACATCAGTACTCTTAGTTCATGCACACACATTTTTTATTTGTGATTCTTAGGCTGTTTTTATCCCAGCTATTCCCACCTCAGCACAGCAGCCTTACTCTGTGGCTGAGACCCTGGGAAGCCCAGTTCCTTATCTCAACAGCCAGGACCCCTGCACCACAGGCCTCAGCAATTACCAGCTATTATTTGAAACCAGGGAGACCCTATGCAGCTACTGGCAGGAAAGATGAATCCCCATTCTCACCACTGCAACTCCATCAGCAGATAATGTTCATGAGCATTACAAACAGTAACTCTGAGAACCGGTTACTGTCAACCCTGGAGATTTAATTCTGTGGTATAACTCCAAAAAATGAGTCTGGACAATACTACCTGTTTACAGAGCGGTACTGTCTAAGCTCACTGCATGTATCAAATTCATCTCATCCTACCACAATGCCTTCATTACCTGGTGACTTCAAGAGAGATTGGGAACTCTTATATTTAGTGAACACTGGTGAGGCTTGAATAAGGGGAAGAAAGTCTGACTTTGTGCGCTAGACAAAAGGCAAGTAAGGACAGGAAGATCAGCTTTTTCCAGTTTCCAAATACTCTATTCTTATTTCACTGGTTTCTAGGCATTTCTCGATTTTAAGATACAGAAACAGCTATGGTTGTTTAAACAAGTATTATTGGTAAAAAACCCATAAGTTTGTTTTCACATTTTGAGAAACAAAGCAAGATAACTTCCCATGAGATTAGTTATTTCTTTAGTTGTCGTATTCTTTCCTCATGGTTACATCTAGCATTGAAATTTGTAGGAATGAGAAGCCCCAAAAGGGCACAACTGATAATTGGCTTTCAGGGCAAACTGTGCTTTGTAAAAATGCATTCAAAGCTAAAGAGAAGGAAACAGCAGATTCTTTAAAACATAACTAAATATGCCTTTCTGCGTAAGCCCCAATACTGCTTTTGTGATCAATAGCAAAACCAGAAACTATTGCTGCCCAGAAATAATTTAAGAAATAGTCATTGATGCATGTCATAATTATAAAGTTTGCTTGTGCCCCAGTGGCACTTGGGGTTCTAATTTTTGGCTGACAGTTTCTTAATCAAGTTTTCACAGCAAAACCTCACAGATATGTTAAAGGGACAATCACTGAACTATAGGATTTCCAACAGCTATGCTGCCTAATTAAGCAAACCATCATTCTGTTAAAAGTAGCATGCTTCCTTGGTTGACACATCAATAATTCAAAACTCGTCCACTCTCCATGAAATACGTTTTTGGATAATTAACTGATGACAAAGTCCAAAGGCTTAAGAAAAGAAAACACTTTGGATAACACTACTGAAATGAAATAACTGCTTAAATTTTAAGGCTTACTGGGGTGTCAAGAGTATGATTCAGTCAAGTAACAAGCTCACAATTATATTCTCGACTCTCTGCCAAAAGCATAATTATATTTGCTTTAACAAGAAAGTTTATTCGTAAGAATAGCTAAATACAACTGAAAATGATACCAATTTATGATTAAGTAAAAAAAAAAATAAAACATTTCATAAAGTTTAAAAATTGGAGTGGATACATAAAATGTTAACAATGTTTTTTCAAACCATCTGTCACAAGGGTCCGTGAAAAAAAAGTGTGGTGTGTGTGTGTGTGTGTGTGTATGCGCTTGTACATATATACATACACACACAAATGCAGAGACAGACCGAATGAGAAAGTAAATATAGAAAAATGTTAATAATTGGTGAATCTAGGTAAAGCATATATGAGTAATTACTGCAATACTCCTGCAACTTCCCAAATACTTGAAAGTTTTCCAATCAAAATAAGTAAATACAGCTAAGTAAAAAAAAAAAAAACTCAGTGAATATTTATTGCAGTGAAAATAGAAATTCTGTTTCTTTTCAACATTTATAATTTTCCTGTAATGAATATATATCGTTTCATTATAAACTTAAAAAACAGTCTTAAAAATAGTAGATTTTTAGAGACGAAGTGTTCTCTTTGGTAGCCATTGACAATTAAAGTTGATTTTCTCATTAACAAGGTGATGGGATGCTTCAATTCGATGTTTTCAAGGCTGACTCTGTGACAGACAAAGCAGCACTTACCCAAGAAACAGAGTGAAGCAGCTTTGAGGCACTCACTTTTTTCTTGCATTACCTTATTTTCCTGCACAGAAGTACAGCACAGTAAATGAGGATAAACGGTCTCTTTAAGCCCTCTTCCATCAAAAGGGTATATGCTTTTCGAAAGCCCACTGCATGGCAAAAATAAAAAGCAAAGTTTAGAACTTCGGCGTTCTTTATTCGTTTTTTTCCCCCTCCCACTTTCAAAAGCCGGATGGTATCGTTCAAGTTTCTAAACTCTAGTTAGAAATTGTTGGGTTAATAATTACAAGTGACTTTTTGAAAACCCAGCACCAGCTGTACAAGTTATACATGGTTAATCTCATTCCTCCATCCCCTGCTGTTTTGTACAAAGGCTGAAGCCTATGAAGCCCCCAGTAAATCTTCTAGTGCCAAAGTTGTTTTGTTCTGGTTTTTGATCATGGGCAGCATGCAGGGATTTTTACATAATAAACCTCCCAAAGTTCATTTTCTACCTGAATGTTTTGTATGCCGCTCCCATCTGAGCCCACCTGTTCAGCAGCTGATAGATGTAACTGTGACCATCTTCTGTCCATATGAGGATTCTGTGAGCAGCAATCACTTCTCCACCAGCAAAGAACTGCCCATTTCTACTAACTTCAGTCAGCAGAAGGGAGAAATTACAATAATCATAAACCTAAAATATAAAGTTGATGCACATTATCAAAGGTTGAAATCTAATCTGCCAATAAGGTAAATACAAATTCTGATAGTAATAATATAACATCATAGTGTTAATAACAGACCATACTGTACTCATATATTAAAAATGATATTTTACTATCACTTATTTACTCATATTTATCTTAGGGTAGCTTTCAGTGGATAAAGTTCATCTGGCTATTTCATTCCAGAGTGTGTGCACTAAACATAGAAACTGTAACGAGTAGACCAAGTTTTACATTTGAAAATTTATTATGCACATAAAAAATGTATATCACATAAATGTTTTGTTAGACCATATACTTTTAAATCTTTATTCAAAAATACATTATCATCATACAAGTAAGACTGTAGAGTTTTGTTAACCGATCCTGTTATACAAAACTTTAAAGAAAAATAAATGCTATGAAATGATGGCAACTTAGCTTTTCTTTCTTCTGGGAAATGTCAGTGAACATATTCTCAAGAAAATAATGTTATTCCCTCTTAAATCCAATAGAAAAGTAAAACATCTAAAAGTATAATCAACTATTAGGTGAAAAGTATATTTTTAGTTCTAAAGTGCAGACACCAAATTTTGAAAATAATTTAGAGCTAAATATTCATTGTTATTATGGTTTGTTGTTAACAAAATTAGAATAGACTACTGCATATCTAGTATCTTGAGATACAAAACTGTTGCATACCATGATATTAAATATGTAGTAATCTATCCCAATTTTATTACAGAGTTAGAAACTAAGATGTCAGTCATAAAAGACATTATTCCATGTTCTGGTAATACTATTATAGAGAATTTTATCATATTTAAATCATATTATTATTTTTGCACAAAACAAAAAAGACAAATTACATTTGCATATCACTGATATTTATTATATTATTTTATAATACCTTCCAACATTTAGAAAATACCACCAAGAGAAGTCTCTCAGTATATGAGCAAAATCGTATTGTTTGGCAGTTCAAGGACTCAAGAAACTTGGATTCTTTTTCATAGACATCTTGCTTTTCCTTCAAAAGGAAAGAAAATTTTTTAGTACTAGTTCAGGTAATTTATACACAGTCATGAGAAGACCTGCTTCCCATACATCTCAAGTAGATCACACCATTATAAAATGAAAAGTATTTGAGTTTCCTTTTGAGTGTTTTGAACTAAGAAGCTACTTTGCAATAGAAGTTGTGTACCTGGGCGACGAAATAATCTGTACACCCAACCCTCACCACACTTAATTTATCTTTATAACAAACCTGTATATGTACTCCTGAAAGTCTTAAAAAATGTTTTTAAAGAAATAAAGGATGTATTTCTTGGGGAAAAAAAGCTGTGATCAGGAAATCCTCTTGGATTCAAGAACTTATTATATACAATCATTTAGCAAACATTCTGTGGGGAACTATGGCTGAATGCTGAGAATGTCAAGATTAAGAATAAGCTATAGACTGTTAGACATAGCAGAAAGGTCAAACAAAAAATGTAAAATGATGACTTAAGAAAAGCCCTACAGTATTTTATTTTATTTTTAATTTTTTTCTTTAGACAGAGTCTTGCTCTGTTGTCAAGGATGGAGTGCAATGGCATGATCTTGGCTCATTGCAACCCCTGCCTTCTGCGTTCAAACCATTCTCCAACCTCAACCTCCCAAGTAGCTGGGATTACAGGTGCACACCGTGCCCAGCTAAAATTTTGCGTGTGTTTAGTAGAGACAAGGTTTCACCATATTGGACAGGCTGGTCTCAGACTTTGGACCTCTGGTGATCCACTCACCTTGGCCTCCAAAGGGCTGGGATTACAGGCATAAGCCATCATGCCTCGCCTAGTATTTTAATTGCTAAGAAAATAAAATGAACAAAGTGCCAACACATGGCACATAGATTACTATATTCCCAATAAGTTTGTGATAATGCTGGATGTGTATTTCTCGAGCTCAGCATACCAACAAAATTCCTAGGCTTCCTCAACCAAGAAATTCCTAAAGAGAGCCCAGAGCTCCTTGGGGAAGCCTAAATAATTTTGTCATCAATACAAATAGTATGGTTGTTCTTTCGTCCATCATCTCAACTTGTAGCCTGATGTCAGGGAAGAGGTGAATACACTGGACTCCCCAGGGACGTGCCTCTCAGTGGTTTATAGTCATTTACCTGCCACTGTTAACACATACTTAGAAGAAAGGGGGATTTCTGCTGTAAGGACCAGAAAGATACTCTGCTATTTTTTTTAATTAAAATTTAATCTTTGTGCGTATGTGTGTGTGTATAAATGAAAACATTTATATATACATGGAGAAGAGATTGGAAGGCTACAAGCCAATTATACCAATGGTCGCCCCTTGGAAGATGGATGGGGGGAGATTATGGTGGTAGAATTTATACACTTCTATATTATTTGAACTTTTAACAATAAGCATGTAATAGCCTTGTAATTTATAAGTTTTGATAAATATGCTTCAATTGTAGTGAAAAAAGAGTAGGGTTCCCAAGCCAACCTGAATGCTGTTGATAGATGAGGAGAGATCCCATACTTTGAGCTCACCAGCTACTGATACCACCAAGAGAGAATCTTCTGTAAAAAGAACAAAAGTAACATAGAAGCTCCATGGATGTAATTGGGCATGTAAAAATCATTTCATAGTCATTTGAGAATTATGCAGGGCTGTGTAGATGGAAAATTCTAATATTTTGAGTTACTTTTTAACTAGAAAAAAATAAACATTCTACATCATGCTCGAAATCGGTTTTAAAGTTTCAAAGTGATTCCTAGGTAGAAGAGCGCCGCTAGAAGCAGAACTGCATTGCAAATCATCATAACATGAAGCCTTCCTATTTCAGAAGTAAGTGAGGAGCCCACTTCCGCTTCCCTTTGCAGTCGCTCATTACAGGAACTGAATTATCAATACTACATCCAGAAGATACAGGAGGGCAAAATTCCAGGAGTCCTACCAATCCACAGCAAAACCTGCTCGTCACTCTGAAAATGTAACAAGCAGAACTTGGTTATAAAAACACAGATTCTTGGGCAGGTGCAGTGGTTCACGCCTGTAATCCCAGAACTGTGGGAGGCTGAGGCGGGTGGATCCCAAGGTCAGGAGTTCAAGACCAGCCTGATCAAGATAGTGAAACCCCGTATCTACTAAAAATACAAAAATTAGTCAGGTGTGGTGACATGTGCCTGTAATCCCAGTTACTCAGGAGGCTGAAGCAGAGAATTGCCTGAAAGTGGGATGTGGAGGCTGCAGTGAGCTGAGATCATGCCACTGCACTAGAGCCTGGGCGACAGAGTGAGACTCCGTCTCGAAAAACAAAACAAAAGTAAAAAACAGATTTGCCTCTTTCCACCTCATCATAACCTTTTGCTGACTTTCCAATGTTTTGAACCACTGGCATGGGTGTTCTTAGTTTTTCTTGATCAGACGTATTATAGATGTATCCTCATTAATAGGTAATCATAAAGAAGCATTCTTTCTGAATTCCTGACCAATAATTTGACAAATAATTCAAAAAGTAGATATTTTTATATGTGATCTCTTACTGTCAGATAATATCCAACTATTACCTTGAATTCTCATGGAGTGAACAATGCACATGCAGTTGATCCAATCAGGAAACTGAGATGATCTAAAACTGTGAACAACAGCCAAAGTTTTGGCGTCAATTATGAGGACATCTTGATATTCTCCACAACAAAGAAGCCAGCCTTCTCCTGTCATCCGGAATGAGCAGTGGTAATACTATGTATATGGAAATCAAAGCAAACATTTCATTATAACTAGAAGTTAACATAATTTGTCTACATTGAAGACCTCTCTAGATTTTAGTTTTAGCTTACGATCAATTGAGGTATTGAACTGAATCGCAGCTCAAATTTTTCTTAGTTCAGTTATTCCAAACTCGCACTGGCACTTTAGTCTCATTTGCAACTCATGATTTTTCTGGAGAAAGAGAGACCTTTTGGAAGGAGTGATTTTATTCTAAATTATGGAAAGCTCACACTTATATTATTTCTAGAGTGCAACTTGGAACTAAACAACCACGGGGCCAGGCACAGTGGCTCATGCCTATGATCCCAGTGCTTTGGGACATGAAAGCAGGAAGATCGCTTGAGTCCAGGAAGTTGAGGCCGCCATTAGCACCACTGCATTTCAGCCTGGGTGGCAGAGCAAGACCCTGTCTCTTAAAGAAAAAAAAATTAATAACAACAACAAAACCCTGTTCCTTACCCAAGCAACAATTCTGTATGTTAAAAAGAAATAAAAGGTTTGAAGGGCATTTGAGTATTATTGTGCCAAATAAGTTTTGGAAATCTTTTATTAAAGGTCAAGTAATGCATTCTACTTTAAACCAGCTCTCTCTGCAGAATTTTATTCCCAGATAAATAGAAGAGAGTTTGTAAATGTTGCAATGCAAATCATCAACACTAAAAGTATAAAATATTTAAAAACATGGTCACACCAGTGGAAGCATGCAACCACACTGCATATGCTTGGAAATCATCTACTAAAAGCCAAGATTTGCTTTAAAGATTGGGAAGTGATCATAAAAGTTATGGTTATGCTGCTTGCTCTCATTTCATAAATAAGACATTTAGAAATTAAGAACCTATCCACACAAAAAAATAGGGTTTAAAATTGGAAATGAGAGAAAAAATTATGCTTTATAACATAGCAGATCATTAACACTGAATTTTTACATGTGTACAAGTATGTGTGTTTTGTGTCACTAAGGCAACATATGGACATTGTCTTTCAAATCTGTTAGAAAGATACACAAATGAAAGAATCAGGGGAAAAATCTGCTTGACTAATACCTTTTGGAAAAGAAAAATGCCATAATAGCAGATGATTACTGATGATATTCGACCCTCATGACAAAATAAAAATTCAAGAAAAGAATATTCTCCAAAGATACTTCTTTAGTAGTGTATTTGCAAATGCCCTAAACAAGTTGCAGAATCCGGAAATGCTCTGGAGGAAGTGAGCGTACTTACACAGATTGCAGTGTGCCTGTAAGGGAGCGTAGCCTTCTTCACACACTGTCCACTGGTGACATTCCAAACACACATCTCCCTAGCAGAGACAACTTTGTATTATTCTCTGTCATTTCCAATCAATTGGCTGGAATAATTTTTGTGCCACCACGTTTTTCTTCAGTGCTGCACTTAAGTGCAGCCTGATCATTTATGTGACTTTTTGTTACAGATTACTGGGAAAGAAAATGTTGTGGTCATTAGCAGGGATGACATACTGTATCTGTATCTTTTTGTTTGGGTAATTACACCCTGCTGCCAGCCTGCAAACCTTACTTTAGGGACAACCCAGCCTACAACAAATTGTGGGGATACAGCTATCACAGCCTCTTGGTGACAGTAGAACAATCTTTTCATGGAAACTGTATCCTCTTGAAAATGCTTTATTTCACTGAACTTAAACTATATATTCTGAAAATCATAATGCATCAAGTGCTGCATCTTCTGAGGCCAACGTATCATCTTTGTAAAAACAAACAGTGCCACCAAGAGGCTACATTTGGTCTATCATTGATAACAGTTTATCTCTGCTACTTCTGACTTGAAATTCTGAAATAATCCTTGCCACTTAATATTTAGAAAACTGTTATTATTTGAAAAACTCGTACTTGGTTATATATTACAAAGACATCGTTTTAAAATACAGTTACAAAATACACCCAGCATAGGGTGGTTTATATGACTTCACAAAAATCAGAATGGCTGTTTCAGGATTGTTTGGTAATATTCTTCAGTCTTAACAGTTTTAAAACATAAGCAAAATTTTCATGCAAGAAAAACATAAGTTTTATAGACCTTAAAGGAGATACTGCTATTATATTAGGAAGCAAAATATATAGACTAATTATGTTAACAACTGCATGCTTTTGGCATTTGTGGGCTTTTTCATTTTTCTAACCAAACACTGGAACTCAATCTTCTAAATGAATGGTTCTTAAACTGGGGTGATTTAGCTACCTCCTATTCCCCCTACATTCCGAGGACACTTGGTAACATTTGGAGATATTTTTGGTTGTTAGAATTAGGAACACACTACTGGCATCTAGTGGACAGAGGCTGCCAAACAGCCTGCAATGCATAGGACGTCCCCCACAACAAAGAATTATCGCTTCCTAAATGCCATTAGTGCTGAGTTGAGAAATCGCATTCTAGAAATAGACACTAAATAGTCATAGATTTTTTCCCTATATTTATATCCAACCTCATTCTAAAAAGATTTGAGGTAACCTAAAAAGACATATAGTTCTATAAAACAGGAGGGGAAAAAATCTCTGTGTGTATGTACTAAACAGTAAGATTGGGAGGAAGGTAAATATTGAAATAATATATCTCAAAAGTAAAGCAAACTAATAATGCCTCTATAAAATAAAGAGATGTATCTCAAAGTTAAAGTAATTGAACCTTAAGCAGTCAACATTATAAAAGTTTAGCTCTTTAAGGGATTTGAGTTTATTGACAAGGTTTTTGACTCTAGCTATGCATCAACAACCACCTAATACTTTTCCAAAAATTACCTCAGAGATTCCAGTTCCGTGACTCTGTGTTGGGATCTGGTATGTGTGGCTTTGAAAAGCACCTGATCAGCTGACTTCTTTCTAGCCTTTTCCTAAATCAGTAGCTCTAAATTCTGGCTATACATTAGGCTTATTTGAGAACTTTTAAAAAATACTGATGGCTGACCAAATGCAGATATCAAATCAGGCCAATTAATTCACATTTTCCAGGAATGGGCTCTAGACATCAGTGAAAATTCCTTTGAAAATACTAATGTATTTAAACCATCTTGGACCCCAGTACTTTACCTGCTTTCCCTATTTGTTTGCTTATCATTTTATTTTCTGTATTAAATCTGAAAAATGCAACTATATCACAAAGTGAAAATTTTCACTCTTTGCCTATCAATTTTATTTAATAAAAGAAAGTAAATTTGTGGTGTATCAAATGTAACACTGACATCTTACCTGGGACTGTATACGTTACATACATAAAAGTAAGACATGAAATCGAACTACTAAAAAGTATGAACTTTTCATTTTTTAAAATTGTCACCTAAGTTTGTACATAGCTAAAATCAACTTTCATTATAAAAAATTATTTAACAATTTAAAAAATCTTTAAAAATCTTAAATTTTTATTTCAATGAAATAAAAAACACAGATGAAAGTGTCTACAACATACGAAATTAGAAAATTGTTATATTCTCACTACAAGTTCCTTGAAAAGGGGCACTTTTTAGTCATATTCTACTTTACATCCCAACCTCAGCACCTCGATAAAAATATATTCCATGGATAAATGTATCAGCCACTATTCTTCCACACATTTTCTATCTTTTGGAAATATATTATTTTCTCCTAACCTCATTCTTATTTCTCATATTTGTATGCTTATAACACTATTGTTTTGCTCAAACTTTAAAAGAAGTGCCTGGAAGGAGAGGAGATAAACATAAATACTTGCTTTGCCATCTTGCATTGGAAGTCTATGACATTTTTCAAATTTTTTGCCTTGTCTTCCTTTATACTTTCATCTTTTTCTTTGGCATTCTCAGACTCCTCTTCTTCCTCTGTCTGCTTTGTAAGTGCTGGTTTTCTTTAGATATTTGTCTTATACTTTCTTAACATTCTTACACTCTCTTTCTGGGTAAGTTATCTACTCCCCTGGCTTCAGGTACTGTTATTATGCTATTGGGAGCCCAGACCTGTCTACCTGAGCTCTATATTTGTATATGCAACTAATTTTTAGACATCTCCATCTGTTTGACTTTAAGGAGCTCACCCCCTTCGTGTTCAAAACGAAGCATAGCGGTTCACTATCTCAATGAATGATCTCATTACTAATAAATTTCCCTTAATTCTTGACCCAACATTTTCTTTCACTGCCTCAAATGTGGGTACTCACTGCTCCAAATAAGTGCTCTGGGTCAACAGTACCAGCATTGCCTAGGAATGCTTTGGAAATGCAAGTTAACAGACCCCAGCCTAGACATACTAAATCTGTATCTTCGGTAGTAAGGCCCAGAAATTTGTAATTAAACAAACTCTGCACGTGCATGCTCAGGTGTGAGAAGCACTCTCCTAGTGTCCTCCAAGTCCTGCTGCCCTTACTTCTCTGAGGTCATCTCTTGCCAGTGACTATTTTTATTTATAAGCAATAAACCTTTCTATTGGTACCAAGGATTTTTGCCTTAAAATTTAAGTATATATACACATTTATATAAAATATTAATACAGTTATACTAGCCTTATTTTGATCACTATACATCTGATAAAATGTAATTGGAATGACTATTTTATTCAGATTTACTTCAGCTAACTTATTTTGTGCTATTTGTCCCATTTTTAAAAAATTTTTGTTTTCTTTGAATTAAACAACATATTTTCTTTATAAATTGAAAGTTACATGCTCTTTCATTTTTTATTCCTTTTGTCTATTGTTTTAGTAGCTACTAAACAATACTTGAAACGTAAACATATAAATATAGCTTAAGGTCTAAAGTTAATCAACATATTTACCCACCTCTAAAACATCAGAATATGTGGGATCTTATCACTACATTAGTATACGCTGTTGTTAACCAGAATTGCGTGTGTGTGAGTGGGTGTACATAAATAGCATTATGTCTTATAGTCTGTGTTTGTTTAAATTTTCTACAACTTTGCTGGTTTTCATTCCATATTCCTTGTTCCATCTCACATCTTCCTTCTGAAGTCATCGCTCTTTTTACTAAAGAATATCATTTAGAAATGTATTATTATACTTATCGAGAGTTTGTTGGTAGTGAGCACCCTTAGTTGTTGTTAGTCTGAAAGTTTATTATTTTGCCCCAACTTTTCAAAGGTGATTTTGTTGGATATATAATTCCAAGCTGACATATATTTTCTCTCCACTTTTTGAAGGGATTTCACTGCTGTCTTCACTCTTGGAAAGTTAGGTCTTTGCTTGATTAACATTCCTTTGTAAATAGTCTGCTTTTTCTCATTGTCTACCTATCGGATCCTCTCTTTTTATTTTGCATTTGTTGTTTTAACATCAGACCTCCAATAGTTTATTTTTCTTATTCTGGAATTTTCTGTGATTGCTGAATGTGAAGATGTATGCTTACAAATAAAATATTAATTTGGGAAAAATATTAAACAGTGGCCATAAAGCAACTCTGAGTCCCTCTGATTACCACGGAGGCAAAAATGCTAAGTCCATAGCCAATATCCAGGACTCCTCAAATCTAAAAATGCATTGTTGTTTGGAAAACAATGGGGCAAACCTAGTAAGGGTAATAACTTCCAGTGGACAAAGTTAAGATTTTCTAAGTACACAGTATTTTAAATCTAGGTACTGCCTAAGAAGTATTTACAGATTCAGAATAAGGTTTAGAAACCTCAAAAGAACAAACTTCTAGAAAATTCAAATCAGCCCAGCGAAGGAGGACAGCTGGTTAGACGGAAACTAAACTCCTAGGTTTGTTATCAATATTTACAGAGCTCATACAGCTGAATTTATCTTTCAACAAAAACATATCCAGTAACTCTTGTTTCTCTTTTGTAGTTAGACTACTATGGGCAAAAACCTGAAGCTGAGACTTTTCACATTTTTTTCTCAACTATACATATTTCTCAATTCTTCATGTTGTCCCAGAAAAAAAAAATTCACCATCCCCCAAATTCTCTAGATTGGGAATAAATATCTCAGCTTGTGTAGCAGACTTTGTGGCAGACCTAGTGAATGAAAACTACAGACAAAGGTTAAAAAAGGAATGGATTAGGACATTTCACTTTAGACATATCCAAAGTTCAATCCCTCTAATATTACAATTAATGATTTACTATAAGCTATGAAAATAGGTATCTATTTGATATCTGTTCAACTAGCCATTTTATTAAACTATTCTGTTTATACAAGATGGGCCTTGATTCTTCATTATTCTTTCAGTTTTCAGAATCCAGAAGCATATAATTTCCCTTTGGATTAGAAACAAAAGAGAGGGTTATCTTTTTTTTTTTTTTTCTTTGAGACAGAGTTTCGCTCTTGTTACCCAGACTGGAGTGCAATGGCTCGATCTCGGCTCACCGCAACCTCTGCCTCCTGGGTTCAGACAATTCTCCTGCCTCAGCCTCCTGAGTAGCTGGGATTACAGGCATGCACCACCATGCCCAGCTAATTTTTTGTATTTTTAGTAGAGACGGGGTTTCACCATGTTGACCAGGATGGTCTTGATCTCTTGACCTCGTGATCCACCTGCCTCGGCCTCCCAAAGTGCTGGGATTACAGGGAGAGGGTTATCTTGTCTCAACTAGCAAGCCCAACCCCTTATTCACAAATGCACACTGAATTGATACCACATTCCTAAATATATTTTGGCAAATAACTCGTCAGGAGCCTAGTTCGTAGTCTTTCTTCCATCAGTGGGGCTTTTTCCTACAGGTGAGTCTTATTTCATGGGAGCAAGCTTTGCTCCCATGAAACGGCACTGAAATCACTGGATATGTCCCTTCCCCAATCTCTCTCCTACCATTCTACTCACAATTGAGTCCTCTCCTCTGTTAGTTTCATTGATTTTTTTTTAATTTTTTGAGATGGAATCTCCCAGGTTGGAGTGCAGTGGCGCCATCTCAGCTCACTGCAGCCTCTGCCTGGGTTCAAGTAATTCTTCCTGACTCAGCCTCCTGAGTAGCTGGAATTACAGTCACTGCCACCACGTCCAGCTAATTTTTTCTATTTTTAGTAGAGTCAGGATTTTGCCATGTTGGCGAGGCTGGTCTCAAACTCTGACCTCAAGTGATCCGTCCACCTTGGCTTCCCAAAGTACTGGGATTACAGGCATGAGCCATCATGCCCAGCCTGTTAGTTTATAATAGCATCAAACAAGGACAAGGGTACAGCACGAAGATTGTAACTATTCAATTGTTTTGTAAAGCTATAAACACTTGGATGGGTTTGCTTAAGAGATCAAAGTGAGTTACCACATGAGAAAAGACAAGCACCTAGACTTTTCTATTGCTGCTTCTAGAATACTAGGCATTTTTCACTAACCTTCACCCAGGAAGAGTGCCACAAGCTCTGATACACATGTTGAGATGCTTATCTTGGTCCCATTCCAGCAACGAAAGTATTGCGTGAGACTTCATAATACTGATTACATTCCCTGGCATCACTGCACAAGTTATTCACACTTTCATGATCTAAATGTTCCTATATGTGAGAGGCGCATGTTGATCACAAAGGTTTCCTTCAGCCCTAAACTTGTATCCCATTGTAGTTTTTCAAAAGGGGAGGGAATGGAGAAGGGGACAAAGTTTACACACCACACCTACCCGTTTTCAGCAGCACTAACAACGTAGGGCTGTTTAGAGAAGTCTCTTGCTCTTGCCAAACACGTTACTGAAGCTGAATGACCAAATAGGAGTTCTTTTGCTGAAATCTAGAAATAACGAGAGTGAGCTTTTAAATAATTGTAAACTGTTTGAAGAATAAAATCACCACAGTATAGTACACAGTTCTGATTAGGAAATTCTGTTATGTTTTTGCTGTATACAAGTTTCAAGAAAACTGATATATGGAATATCAAAATCCACAGACCAACAAACTTCTAGGTAGAGGAACTGTGTTGTACACAGGTTTTGTTTGTTTTGGTTTGGTGTCCATCACGAAGCCTCCATGACTGCAAGACCTGTCTTACGACAGCTAGGTTGTGAATACAAATAAGTCTGTGTTGATGCTCCCTATGAACAAAATGTCCCCTCAAGAAGAGTAGCACATTAATGTGCAGAGTTAGAATTCAAAATAACTTTACAAAATAATACAAGAGAGAATATTATCCTTTCTGAACCCTCCATAACACCGTATGTGGTGGTAGGAATGTAAATTGGTACAGCTATTTTTAAAAATGGTGTAGAGGTTCCTCAAAAAAAAAAAAGGGAAACTTACACATGGCTCAGGATTCCCACTTCTAGGTATATATCCAAAAGAATGAAATCAGTATCTCAGAGAGGTATCTGTACCCACAGGTTCATTGTAGCATTATTCACAACAGGCAAAATATGGAAACAATCTAAGTGTCCGCCAGTGGATAAAGAGATAAATAAAATGTATGTGACACATACATTTTATTTATCCATCGTTATCTGTGGAGGACTGGTTCCAGGACACCACCTCGTGACACCCCACCACATAGGTACCTAAATCACATGATGCTCAAGTCTGTTATATAAAATTGCATAGTATTTGCATGTAGCCTATGGCATCTTTCATATACTTTAAATCATCTCTAGATTACTTACAATACCTAATACAATATAAATGCTGTGTAAATTGCTTTTATACTGTATTGTTTAGAGAATAATGACAAGTCTGTAAATGTTCAGTACAGATGCAACCCTATTTTCTTCTTTTTCCAAGTTTTTGATCCACAGTTGGTTGAATCCATGGATGCAGAAGCCATGGACATGAAGGGCTGACTGTATACACAATGGAATAGCATTCAGCTAAAAAATGAAAAGGAAAGAAATTCTGCCATTTGTGACAACATGGATGGACTTAGAGAATATTATGCTAAAGAAAATGATAAAAGACAAACACTATATGAACTTACTTATATGTAGAATCTAAAAAGGTCAAACTCATAGAAACAGAGAATTCATGGTTGCCAGGGGCTGGGGGTGAGGGAAGAATGAAGTAATGTTGCTCAAAGGGTACAAACTTTTAATTATATATAAGATGCATAAGTTTGGGGATCTAATGTGTGCATTGTGATTATAGTTAACACTATATTAACTATAGTTATATATAGTTAATACTATATACTTCAAATCTGTTGAGAGAGTAGGTCTTAAGAGTTCTTGCCACATAGATACAAAAATGATTATGTGAGGTGATAGATGTGTTCATTAACATGATTGTTGTATTAGTCCATTCTAACACTGTTATAAACAACTACCTGAGACTAGGTAATTCATGAAGAAAAGAGGTTTAATTGACTCACAGTTCCACAGGCTTAATAGGAAGCATGACTGGGAGGCCTCAGGAAACTTACAATCAGGGTGGAAAGTGAAAGAGAAGCAAGCACATCTTACCACGACAGAGCAGGAGAGAGAAAGAGTGAAGGGGGAAGTGCCACACACTTTTAAACTGTAGGATCTTGTGAGAACTCACTATCACAAAAACAGCATGTGGAAAATTGTCCCCAGGATCCAATCACCTCCCAGCAAGTCCCTTCCCCAACATGTGTGGATTACAATTAGACATGAGATTTGGGTGGGGACACAGAGCCAAACCATATCATTTGTGGTAATCACTTCACAATGTATTCATGTATCAAATCATCACTCTGTACACCTTAAACCTATATAATTTTTACTAGTTAATTACAGCTCAATAAAGTTAATATAAAAAATTCCATTAGTCATAGACTGAATATCAGACCAGTTACCACAGAGGAATTTTTAGGCATCAATTTTCACTTCTAAATTTTCTATATTACCAAAATTTCTAAAAGTAAAACGTCTTTCTTATTTATATAAAAAAGAAGAAAACATCCAGAAAATAAGAAAACAAGCCACAGACTGAGAGAAATATTTTCAAAAGTCATACCTGCTAAAGGATTATAATATAAAATACACAAAGAACCCTTTAAATTCAATAATAAGAAAGTTAAAAACCTAATTAAAATATAGTCAAAAGATCTGAGCAGACACCTCAGCAAAGAAAACATGCAGATGGGAGGTACACATATAAAAAGATGCTCCATATAACCTGTAATGAGAGAAGTGCAAATTAAAAAAACAGTGAGAAACCACAGCGCACCTATTAGAATGGCCCAAATCCAGAACATTGGCAACATCAAATGCTGGCAGGGATGTGGCAACAGAAATTCTCATTCATTGCTGGTGAGAATGCAAAACAGGGACGGCCACTTTGCAAGAGAATTGTTTAGTGATTTCATATAAAACTAAATATATTCTTACCACACAACATGGCAATGACGCTCACTGATATTTACACAAATGCATTGAAAAGTTGTATCTACACAAAAGTCTGTATAGAATTACTAGGTAATTCATGAAGAAAAGAGGTTTAATTGACTCCCAGTTCCACAGGCTTAATAGGAAGCATGACTAGGAGGCCTCAGGAAACTTACAATCAGGGTGGAAAGTGAAAGAGAAGCAAGCAGATTTCTCCATAATTGCCAAAATGTGACAGCAACCAAAATACCCTTCAAGTGGTTAACAGATAAATTATGGTACATCTATACAATGAAATATTATACAGTGCTAAAAAGAAGTGAGCTACCAAGCCATGAAAAATTATGGAAAACCCTCTGATATATATTACTAAATGAAAGAAGCCAATCTGAAATGGTTTTATGATTCCAACTACATGACCTTCTGGAAAAGGCAAAACTTAGCAGACAATAAAAACATTAGTGGTTGTCAAGGATGTGGGGAGCAGGAGATAAATATATGTTGCACAGAAATTTTTGGGGCAGTGAAACTATTCTGTATGATACTATAAAAATGGATCCACCAGTCTGGCTAACAGCATGAACCTCATCTCTACTAAAAATACAAAAATTAGCCAGGGGTGGTAGTGTGTGCCTGTAATCCCAGATACTTGGGAGGCTGAGGCAGTATACTTGCTTGAACCTGGGAGGCAGAGTTGCAGTGAGCCGAGATTGCACCACTACATTGCAGCCTGGGCGACAGAGTGAGAGTCTATCTCAAGAAAAAAAAAAAAGATACATTATACATTTGTCAAAACCTGTAGAATGTACAATACCAAGAGTAAAGCAACTCTTGATGATGTGTAGGTTAATCGGTTGTAATACATATATATATTATAATATATACTACAGCAGTATATATATATATATATATTATATAATATTACATATTATTATATATATACTGCTGTAGTGTGGCATGTTAATAGTGAGGGACAGATGTGTGTAAATGTGTGTTGGGTGCAGGGTGGGGCTGATCAGATAGGTATAGAAACTCCCTGTACCTTCCACTCCATTTTGCTGTGAACCTAAAACTGCTTTCAAAAATAATCTATTGAAATACTTTTAAAAAGTATCCTATTTGTCTTCCTGCCTCAGAAATACTAAAATTAACCTTTTTACAATAAAAACAAAATTTTAACTAAATGATTATTTAAAATACCAATGCTGGCCAAGCATGATGGCTCATGTCTATAATCCCAGCACTTTGGCAGGCAGAGACAGGAGGATCACTTGAGCCCAAAAATTCAAGGCCTGTCTCGGTAACAGTGAGACCTCATCCCTACAATAAAAAAAAAATTAGCTGGGTATGGTGGCGCACACCTGTGATCCCAGCTACTCAGGAGGCTAAGATGGGAGAATCACTTGAGCTCAGACCGTCAAGGCTGCAGTAAGTTTAGCTCATGCCACTGCACTTCAGCCTGGGTGAGAGAGTGAGATCTCACCTCAAGAAAAAACAAACACCCATTGTTTTTCTCCTACATGCACATTTTTAAAATATAACACTAAGGTCTAATTCCCCTACTGCCTCCTGTGTGAAAGAAGTAAATTCCTCATTATTTTGTAAAACAAGATGATAAAAATTAAATTACAAAACAAAAAACATGTAAGATCTCCTGAAATGAAGAAGGAGTTGTCAATAATAAACCAAACATTGGCTGGGCACAGTCGGTGACTCATGCCTGTGATCCCAGCACTTTGGGAGGCTGAGGCGGGCAGATCACTTGAGGTCAGACATTTGAGACCAGCCTGGTCAACATGGTGAAATTCTATCTCTACTAAAAATACAAAAGTTAGCTGGGCGTGGTGGCAGGCACCTATAATCCTAGCTACTTGGGAGGCTGAGGCATGAGAATCGCTTGAACCCAGGAGGTAGAGTTTGCAATGAGCCGAGATTGCATTCCTGCATTTCAGCCTGGGTGACAGAATGAGACCTTGTCTCAAAAAAAAAAAAAAAAAAGACCAAAAATTTAATTTGAATAGCTAGCAAATGTCATGTGGGTAATAAAAATCTATTTTCCAAATGAATTAATATCTATTATATTTTTTCTGAACTATATGAACATATGTAGATGAAAATGCAGCCATATTAATGAGGACATATTTTTTCTACCCCTACCCAAATTATTCCTTTATATACACATTTTTTATTAAACTACTAAACATTAACCTATTAATCTACTCATCTGACCATCTTAAGCATAGCAATAGGATTTGTTGAGAACTGAAAACTGCTCTTGATTTTTTTCAGTCTGAAGTTTTTCCTACTAATAGTTGATCAGTTGCAGTGTGTGGGCAAGATTGATGGGAAAATAAGAGATGCTGTTTACTCATTGTGGCCCTGTGGTTAGCCATAGAAAATGTTCAGGAAAATCTTTACATGGAATATCTCACATTTATACTAATCAGTAGCTTATTTGTGTAATTAACTTTTCACAATGTTCTCACAGTGAATTTCAAAAACACAAAGCTGATCCCATCCCCAACTTAAATCTCAATAGCTTTAGCGAATTCTATGTAAATTCCTTTACTTGTCATCTAAACTTCATGTCTAGGTCTTTGTCTTCCCCGCTGGCCTTACCTCTCTTAGGTCATTTTTCATACCTAGGTAAGGCAACAGACAGCTCCTCCTTTTTCCTCCAAGCACAAGCTGTCTCCTTAATGTAGAATAACTTTGCTTCTTCCACTCGCACCAATCAGATTCCCATTTCCAGCCTATATCTCTATCCCTGAATTTCTTTATATCAGCACTCTTGGCATTTGGAATGGAAAATTATTTATTGTGAGGAGCTGTCATGTGCACTATATGACGTTTATAGTATTTCTGGCTCCAGCCAGTACATGCCACCAGTATCTCTTGTCCTTCAGTTGTAACCACCAAAATGTCTGCAGATAGTAACAGATGTCTCTTGGGAGGAAAATTGCCCGCTGTAAAAACCACTACTCTGAGTCTAAGCAGAAGACTTGCTCCTAAGAGACGCATGGCATAACCTGTCCACTGACTATGCAGTGCAGACCATTCTTCACCTAGAGTACCTTGTATCATAACTGCCCTACAGTAGCCTGCTTTTTCTGTACTGCACTGTAAGCTCCTGGGCAGCCAGCACCAGGTCTTATCATTCACATTTGAACTTATGAATGAGTACCCACCATGCCACCCAAATTATATCATGCACTCAACAAATGTATGCTAAACAAATGCTGAATAAATATTAGCAATGTCTTTATAAATATAAAGATGATAGAATTCCAGATTTATTAAGCTTATAGTGACCTACTTAATATTAGACAACTATTCCAGCCACAAAATAATACACTTAAACATTAAAAATAAGCAAGACATTTTAGTCACTTAGAAGTCTGAGTTTAAATTTTAATAGAAAATTAATGTCTCAATATTCAAACGGGGCCACAATTTTCAAAGCACCACTGTTGCAATAATACCCATCCTTCCTTCAAGAACGTTCATTAACATTAAGCTGAGCTGGTCTGCTATGCAGTTCTTGGCAGTCCTATAGTAGAAGCGTTCAGTGATGGGAGATGTTAATTAATTACACTATAAAATAGAATTACAATTAATTGTTAATTTAGGTCTTAAAGTGACAAACTTTAAAGGCTAAAAATAGTCTTTGATCTTTAAAAGGCTTCTTAATGAGGGTAGTATACTTTAACTACATCATTAGTTTAAATGTTCAAATTGGGTCTAGAGACTGCTAGAGTTAAGCAAATATCTATTCCAATATGTTAAATGTTTATGACTTGAGACAGGGACAATTAATTGCCAATCAATGGGCCAAATCCTAGGTGAGGTCAGGTTCTGAAATAGGAGGACGACAATAGTAAATTGGATTTAGAGCGTTTTGATGTGATCTGTAAAAATTACAGGCAGGCAGAGACTAAAAGAATCACAAGAAGGCCAAACTAGCAGAAACACCCAGATAATTAAGATATTACTCATTTAGTTAATCGTGGCTTTCAAGGGTGTCCTTTGTTTAGATTAATGAGCCATAATTTTTAGAATTATACTTGTGTGCCTGTAGTTCAGTTACTTAAGCATATAATTCAGAATATAAAATAGTAAAACTCAGCATAGTTTTACTATTAAAACTATTAAAGGGGAATAATACTTAGTGGGTACCTAAGATTAGCAATATTCATAATATAATTTTCAAATATGATCCTTGATCAATCATATAATACTGTATTTCTCAAAATTCAGAAGTAAAATCAATTTATTACTTTAATAAGCATCTTTTTAACAATCATGCAAACCTTCCACTGTCACTGCAGACAGAAAATGCAAGTTGTGCTTATTTTGTGAATGGTGTCTGTTTCAATATCAATAGCTTTCACTAACCTTTAGTTCATGTGAGAGATTCCAGAGACAGAGCTGACCCTCTTGACTCCCAGTCACAATTGTTCTCTGGTCATCGGTGATCATGATGGCAGTGATGCTGTGGGGAGGGGCCTTCTGTCCCCAGAGTGCCACTGCCTGCAGGGAAGTCCTCATTTTGGGTGAATCCTGGACACACAAAGAAGGGAAGAAGCATACATGGTCACATTTTTTTAATTTGAAAAAACTGATAATATTATAAAGCAGATTTATGATTATCCAAACTTCAATGATGTGTTCCGAGGGCTATGGAAAAGGGTGCTCTCCCATCAATTAGAAGAGAAGGTAGTCATCAGACCCTGAAATTACCATGCACACTGCTAATTCATAAAAAAAAATGACTTATCTTCCAGTTCCTTATTACTGAGAAAGAAAGGAATAGTCTATGCACTTCACACCCAGCTCTTCCTGTGGCTACATCCAACTTTATGCAAAGCCCTGCTAGGCTTCTTAAGAAGCATAGAGCTGTCTACAGGGCATAATTTGAAGTCAGCTTTGCAAACTCTCTCTCTCCAACTAGGTAATACCTGAAATTGGGGAATTTGATATTAAAAAATAAATCTTTTCCATGAAAACAATGTTTCCTAGTGTTCAAAGATTCATGTATGACTATCATAATTTCTGCCATATTCATTTTTTTGTTAGTATACTTTAAGTTCTGGGGTACATGAGCAGAACATGCAGGTTTGTTACATAGGTATACATGTGGCATGGTGGTGTGCTGAATCCATCACCCCGTCATCTATATATTCTATTTTTACTAATAATTTTTATTTTACCTATTTTTGTATTTGGTATCTTCCTAAACAATAATCTCTATGAAATTGCCACATTCATATGTTAGTTGCAAGGATTAAAATGAATACATAAGTATCAAAAAATGTTGTCTGTGACCACCTAAAATATCACTCAGTGATGTTTGCATTATATTTTGTGAAACACTGATTAAATATTCTCCCCAAATGGGTATTCCTTCCTGAAACACAAACAATTTTGGGAGGCAATTTAGCATTATATATTTAACCCATTAAAAATGTCAAAAAGAGAGGAAGAAGGTGCCAAGGATAATTCCCACATTTGCTTTGAAAAAGTCAAGAAAATGAAAACTTTCTGTCCTGCAGGATTTCTGGTACTAAAGCACCGAAAGGATAAATACCATTACACATTTTTAAAGCTTATGATGCATGTTATTTCTAGTGTTCGGTTATATATATTTACACACACACACATACACCTAAACATGGGTGTGCCCTGACACTATAAACACAAACTTTCCTTGCAGTTCCATTGTCTGGAACTCAGGGTCTAGCTCCCTGTTATCTTCTTAGGTTAGTATGTGAGTCTATCTAGTCTAGAATACATTTGTATTATCTAACTGCCTTATCCAAGCACCGTGAAACCAAGGCTTCTATAGAAAATGTTCTGAGCATTGCAATTCTGAATACCAGGATTATACATATTATTCATACTGCCAAGCTAACCAGAGAGTTCTGATTTAAATAATACTATAACTGGAACGTGGACCTTCTGCTTCAAACACAGAGAAAAATGCATTATATGTATTTTTTAAGTTTTTGCTTCATGGCCAAGCTTACAAATAAGTCTAGAAAATCCCAAGCATTAAAAAAGTAAGAGAAACTGGAAAAACGGCACAATAATTATTGGAACTAAATTAGTAGGTGGCTTTTTTGGCTAGGAGTTTGCATGTTAGTCCCTATGTAAGGGTAGAAAGCAAAGCTCTCAGAAGCAGCCCTGCTTGATGAAAGGGGAAACAGGAAAACTATCCCAGGAAGGTAAGAAAGCTTATTTCCAAATCTCCCAAGAAAAATCTCTCAAGCCTTAATTACAAATGGGTTGAGAGTAAAAAAATTAAAAAAAATTAAAAAAATTTTAAAGTATTATACACAATTCCAGAATGGATTTCTTCACATGGGGATTCTGGAATTATGTATAATACTTTTAAAAATTAATTATATATAAAAAGTTGTTCGCAGGTCAATGATACTATTGGGAGGCTTGTCAGAAACACTACAGATCTATTTGAATATCTACATTTTATAAAAGACCATGACAAATGTTAATGGTCACGCCTGTAATCACAGCACTTTGGGGAGCCAAGGTGGGTGGAGCACTTGAGGCCAGGAGTTTGGGACCAGCCTGACCAACATGGTGAAACCTCCACTCTACTAAAAATACAAAAATTAGCCAGGCGTGGTGGCGCTCACCAGTAATCCCACCTTGGGAGGCTGGGTGGGAAAATCGCTTGAACCCAGGTGGTAGAGGTTGTAGTTAGCTGAGATAGTGCCACTGCATTTCAGCCTGGGCTACGAAGTGAGAGAGGAAAAAAAAAAAAAGCCGGGTGCAGTGGCTCAAGCCTGTAATCCCAGCACTTTGGGAGGCCGAGGCGGGTGGATCATGAGGTCAAGAGATCGAGACCATCCTGGCCAACATGGTGAAACCCCGTCTCTACTAAAAATACAAAACATTAGCTGGGCATGGTGGCGTGTGCCTGTAATCCCAGCTACTGAGGAGGCTGAGGCAGAATTGCCTGAACCCAGGAGGTGGAGGTTGCGGTGAGCCAAGATCGCGCCATTGCACTCCAGCCTGGGTAACAAGAGCGAAACTCCGTCTCAAAAAATAAATAAATAAATAAATAAATAAATAAATAAATAATAATAATAATAATAATAAATACATTTTTCAGGAAATTTCCCAGAATACAGCAAGAAGACATTAAAAAACTGAAAATGTTGAGTAAAAGGAATTCAGAGACATTAAGATTAATCAGATACGTTAAGAGATATAGATGCTAAGTGAAAGATCCAATATGTTTCTATTATAAGCTCCAAAAATGACAGAACCCTTTCCCTTCTTTGCTAATTCAGTCCTAAAGCCACCAGGTATTAATAGAACAAAGCAGAAATGGAGTGTTGGAGTTTAAATAATATGAGGAGGGCATCAGGATAACAGGACTGTGGAGTCAGAGCCTAGGGAGGGTGAGTAAGACGTCCAAATGTGGGGGCAGCCCCCAAGCAGGGTGAAGAGGAATAATGCATATGTGGTTGTGTGGCACTGGGTATTGGAGCACGAACAAGTGAGAAAGGAGCTCACACAATGAGGTTCCTCAACAAAGAGTGTCAGGAGCCTAAGAGGGGTGAGGATAGTGAAGGTTGTGGCCCCGCTGTGAGGAGCCAGAGCCTGGGCAGGGTGAGGAAAACATACATTTATTTACAAGGATGGTCTGGCACAAAATGTTGAAGCCAAAGGAGGATAGGAAGACATGCACACTGGGGGATGTTCAGTATCCTGAGAACACTGGTAGGGTGAGAAGTGTTCCTGCCCGGAAGTGTAATCAGACATAGTAAAGGAATACAAAGGGAAGCAGGATATTCACACATTGGGCAGTGGACAGGTCCACAAGGAGTGTCAAAGCCATTAAATGATCAGGAGGGCATTCATACAGAGGACAGTGCAGCACATTTACAGGAAATTGGTTACATAACAGACTGATCAAATAATTAGTATATTGCTTATTTATAATAGGAACCAGATTTCTTGCTGTTTACTGTTAGAAAAAAGAGTTAGAAATAGAGAAAGGAAAGAACTTGAATGATACCTGTGGTACTGGAGTTGAATTAGAGGAATCAGGTTTTATTGGGAAACTAACTGGTTGATTCCAGTTCTGGAACAGGGAAACACAATATGATACTGGACTATATTGCCATTAAAACAAGGAAGTGCTCGAAGAGTGAGGACATATCAGAGGGACACAGAAGTCTGCTTGCAGGAGCTCCCACTGACCGAACCATGAAAAATTTGAGCATCAAAATAAATAATGCTAGCAACAGATGAATAAATTGATTAAACTTACTAAAGACAAAGATTCAGAGTTACAATGTCCTACTACATCTTACTTACTAAAGATTCCTAAAGTATTAACTCAGAAAGGTTTAAAATAAAGAGATGGATAAGAACATACCAGGCAAATAGTAATAAAAGAATAATAAACTGATGTAATATTGGACAAAATGGGCTTTAAAGCCAAACCACTGTTGGAGGGGTGGTCACTATATAATGATTAAATAAGTCATTTACCCAAAAAGAATAATAGTCTCTAGGTAATCAACAGCAGAGCCTCAAAATCCATAAAACAAAATAATGCATAATTACTAAGAGAAGTTGGTGAATTAACTATGACAGAGGAAGATTTTACTTCTCTCAATCAGTAATAAATAGATCAAGCAGACAAAAAAGATTAAGGATTTTAAATACTTGAACCACATAATTTGTATTAATAATATCATGAAAATATATAGATTCCTGCACCTAGAAATTAAATAAAAATACATTTCAATGAAAGCATGCATATAACATTTATAAAGCTGTGATGCTGTTGGACCACAAAACAGATCTCAAAACATCTTAAAGGATTAATACCACTTAGGTGACATGATCGGACCACAATCAATAAAAATCTGAAATTGCCTCCTTCCTCACCCCTGCAACACATGCATAACACAAAAGTTTGAAATATTTCCTGTCTGAATGTTTGGAAACTAAAAAAAAATCTAAAATATTCTACCAAGAAAATATAATATAAATTCGATGCAATTAAGAACCAAAAGAATAAAAATTTTGTATAATAAAACTTGCCAAATGTAGATTTTGTATAAAAGGAAATTATAGCCTCAAACACACACACACACACACACACACACGATGCTAATAAAGAAGACAGCAAATGAATAAGGAAATAACACCCAAATGAAACCCTTATATAAAAGAAGAGCAGGGTAAATACAAGGAATGTAAAAGGAAACAATGTGGACAAAACTACATATTATTATTAAAAGAACAACAAAGGAGAAATAATCTACAAATCAAACCCAGTCTTTTGAAAAGATAAATAACATGAGGAAATCTATGGCAAGTTTGATTAGGAACGCACTAAAAACATCAAAAATAATGTACAGATAAAATGAGTATAGCTCAGTTATCTTAAATGAGAATATTATTAATGTTAAAATTTGGAAAGGTAAGTGAAATAATTTTTATAGAAATACAGCTCACTAGGCTTTTTGTTTTGTTTTGTTTTGTTTTGTTTGTTGAGACGGAATCTTGCTCTTGTC